TGACAACAACACCAACAACATCTCTGCCTTCAACTCTTGTTGCTTCTCTGGTTAGGAGCAATGATTTTTAGTGTCTTTTAGAACAGCCCTGTAGTTTTAATGAATGTTGTTATTGTTAGTGTCCTCGACTCATAGCAACCCTGTATAGGGTTTCCAGAGGAGTGGCTGGTGAGTTTGAACAGTCTACCCACCTTGCGGTTCAAACTGACCTTGTGGTCAAGCACTTATCCTACAGCACCACACCAGGACTCTTAAGACATAATGAAGCCTAAGTAAGAGTGATAAAGATGGCAAGATGTAGTGAACAAGTGATGGAGTATAAAGTATAGAAGGAACTGGGTGGAGAGGTCATGAAGTAATGAACAGTAAGAAGAAAATAGAAGTATATTTCATAGCTTTCCAGTCAGCAGTCAGAGAATCAATAAGCAGTTGGGCTTATCAATCTAGGGCCAGTCCCTATCAGTTGAAGTGTGGTTCTTACCCTGTTTACAGTTAAATGCTAAAGAACATTATTAGTTGAAAATTTCAAGAGGCTGTGGCTATGGATATAACACTCTCTTTAGATGAGTTATCACACGTTCTTGTCTAATACAAAAGAAAATCAATTATTAAGTGCCTTTCCCTGTCTCAGATTTGTGAGATTGACCATTCTGAGACGAAATCCTCCATTCTTTGACTGGATCTCATACCAAAGAGTTGCTGCTTTACTGTCTAGTTTCGTAAAAAAAAAACAGCCTATATTCACAGTGTCTGTGGCTTTTTTATTTTTGCACCAGTAGTAAAGGACTAAGGCCAGGAAAAATGAGGTGCTTCTGTGACCCTGCCTTTGCGGGTATGTCACCTTGCTGGTACTGAATGAGTTAGTCTACACCTAGCAATTTTATGTACGCAAAGTGTGAAGAACACATACTCCTTGCAGTGTAATTCAGATATTGTTTTCTTTGGAATTTAGAAGGTGGAGTTCACTTGCTTCCTTTTGTACTTAATTCATATTTTTTTCTGTCACTGGGTTGTTTGATTGCAAAGTTGAAATACTTGATAAGTGGGGGAAAAGGCATTGTTTTTATTTTTATTTATTTATTTTTTTGTTAGGCTTAAATATATAGTTAATATAAAATGATATTCAAATGCATGCATAACACAACATTTACTATAATTTGAATACTCTGGCTAAAATGGTTGTTCAGTTTTTTGGTTTTTTTTTTTGGTAAGCAACTTTTTATTGAAGTAAATCATACATTATAACATGCACAATTTATAAATATACAGATGACTGGAATTTTTTCACTAAGTAGAACACATTTGTTAGCAATGATATCAGGAAATAGAACATTATTACCATATAAAAAGCTCTAATTATTCCCATTCTGTCATTGACTGTTGGAGTCAGGTGTCTAAGGTTGGCTGGCTGTGTGCCATGGAGTCTGTTCTGACTCATAATGACCCTGTACAGGGTTTCCTAGAAGGCATTGTTTTTAGAGAGGCATACTCAGCTTACTTGGTGGGCAGGCCAGTCTCAGTCTATAAAAGGTCTGCATTAAAGAAATGTAGTTACCCGGATTACAAAATGGATCTAAGGGAGAGGAATCCTTTCGATTGTAGATATTAAAGTAATTTTCACAGACTTGTTTAAGGGGAATAAAAAATGGACAGAAGGTAATCTTTAGGCCAGCCCTTGTTCATATTGTAAGGTAGTAAAAGTAGCTTTTCTTTAGAGAAGTAACATGGAATTTTAATATTACCTCATTAAAAATGCTTTTTGGGACCCAATATAGCAAAGAGATCACACAAAGGTGCCAGAGCTTTTATGTACATGTTCATTTAATGTTGTACATGGAAATTATGGATCCTTTTTCTGGCTTTTTTATTTTTAATAACATGTTGAAAGTAATAATAACATTTGTACATGTAAAATATTTTACAGATTTTTTAGGTTGGGAAAAGAGAGTAAGTACCTAAAGATTTGTTCAAAGTAATAATCAATAAAATATCCCTGTTTCCACTTACACTTTTCTTCCCTTTGAGGAAATTCTATATGGTGCCAGCCATGTGACATAGCAGTACAAAGGAAAACTTGGATTCAAGGCCCCATTCAGAGTCAGAAATTGTGCCACTTTAAAGTGGAATCTTGATGACTAACATTTTGATTCTTGCTTGCTTTCTTATGTAATGTCTGTTATGTTTTGTATTTATTTCAGTTATGCTTCTTGATAGGAAACACATTGCTGCTCTGGCAGCATTCAGTGTTCCATAGTCTCTTAGACAAAACTCTTCCCATCCAGAGCACTGTTTGTAAACAATGAAATGGCTTTTCCTTGATATTTTTGGATAATGATGATTTTCGTCTTTACAGGCATTGGAATGGATACTTGTGTCATTCCTTTGCGGCATGGTGGTCTTTCCTTGGTTCAGACTACAGACTACATTTACCCTATTGTAGATGACCCTTACATGATGGTAAGTCTTACTAAGTGTGTTCTCATTTCTGAAACTGCCTATTTGTGTTTTTGTTTGTAGTTGGAGTTTTATATGTTGGGGAGGGGAGTTATTTTTGCTATATATGAATTATACTCACTGGGATATAATATTGGCTTGGTTCTACGCATAAAAACACCTAATGTTTTACTACAATGTCTGTTTACAAGCATTTTTATAGTTATTTGTCTTTCTTTCCATGTACCTTGATTTCTTCAACAAGGTAACTCTGGGTTGATGCATCAGACTGCAAGGTCGGTTTGAACCTCACAATCAGCAGTTCAAGCTCACCAACTGCTCCTCAGAAACCCTATACAGAGTCACTGTGAGTCAGAGCCAACTCAGTGGCACTTAACAACAACACTGCCACTACAGAGGGCCATTATGAGTCGAACTAACTCAGCGGCATTTAACAAGAGCTACTGTGTGTTTCAGGCTAGAAATATTAAAATAGGATCCTGGACATGCCTTCCAGAAATAAAGGAACTTAGCATCTCACCACAAAATGTGATTAGAATAGCTGGTCACTTCCCCTCTGCCCCCCAGTTACCATGTTGTATTGTATACCACTATATTTAAAACATAACTCAATCATTGCACTTAAACTCCTAGCTCCTGATCATGCACTGTCAGGTATATTTTCAGATGTTCAGTACATGGTTGTAGCCATCAACCCTTGACTCTACTAACCGTAGTCTTGCCACATCTCTGTCAAAAGGAGCCATTGAGGACATTGGGAAGATTCCTTTGGTTATAAAAGACCAGATGTCCTGAATGGCAAGGACCCTGGAACAAAGCTGCACACAAAGGGACTGGGTTCGGAGCGTCCTTAGACTATTGAGGTAGCTAAATGGGTGGAAGGAGGATTGTGTATCCCTCAAGTGTTGGAGATAGTAAACATGTTATTAGAAACCTGTTTTCCCTCTTGCATATCCATCTGTTCTCTCTGGAGGAAGGACAGATGTGCCACACCCTAGTGTCTCACCTGACCTGACTAAGTGACAAAGAAGGCTAGAACCAAGAATCCATCCTGTTTTTTCCAGCATGTCTTAAGAGAGTCTGAGAGAGCCCAGAACAAAAGGGGCAGTAAGTTGGTAAAACCTGACCAGCAGTTGGCATTTCCAAGTTTCAAACCACTTTTTGGCTTTGTTGATTTAGCTCTGGTACTTAAAAAAGTGGCTGTACACAAAAAGGTATTGAGTTGCATTGCTGAACTACTGTGAACTTTTAGGAAAATATGAAGAAGCATTTAACAGCTATCAAAAATGACACTTGGAAGTTTGGCTATAACCAATAGCATAAGTGGCTGTTTCCAAGTTTGCTTCAGGACAGTTTTTTTTAGATGTTCTAGATCAGACGACGTATTGCATTGGACAAA